ATTCTTTACTCAGGAGTTAGTGGATAGATGGCTCAAGGTATTGAAGCAAGTGACTGTTCTGGTTGTCTTTTGTATTACGGTAAATCAGTCTTTTGTCTTTTTACTCGCTTTTTGTATTCGAGTATAAAAGTCTAGGGAAAATTATTCCTGGGTGAACTCAGAACACAGAACTCAGTATGCAGCGGCACTGAGTTGCCTTCCCAACTGTGTCTCTGTGTTTCTGTGTTTCTTTCTTATCTCTGTTCCTCCTGCTTTACATTTCTAATCCTCCTGCTCCTACTTGGAATGTACAAACTGGCACAGTTGATGAAAAAATAGAGCATCTTTTATACTATTGTTTAGGGATAAATGAGACAAAGTAAGCAGGAGGCTAATCAATGATGTCACCCAAAGGGAACACGGGGTTTCTCAAGAGCATTGTAGATGGAGCACACAGTTGCCTTGGGACTGAAACTCAATCTCTTCAGGAGAACAGCCACGGTCCCAGGAACCAAAACCCTAACTACTTTGAGGTTCAGGTTTCCTCCCAACACTGGCATTGCAGGGTCCACTCCTGAGCAAGGGCACAGAACTAGGTTCCTTTTGTCCTTCATTGGGGTATCTGAGAAAGCCTTAGATTGGTGAAATTTCAGTAATGTTCCTTTTACAAATGTGTATGTCCTTGTATTTGGGGCATAGACATCGTCTTGATGGATTTTTCCTGTGACGGATATGAAATATCTTTCTTCCTCTCTTTTGATGAATTTTAGTTTGAAGTCTATTTTGCTAGACATTAGGATAGCTGTACCAGCTTGTTTCTTAGGTCCGCTTGATTGGAGAATCTTTTCACAATTGTTTACGCTGAGCTGAAGTCTGACTTTGAAGTTGAGGTGTGTTTCTTATATGCAACAGAAGGACGGATCCTGTTCTCATATCTGTTCTATTAGTCTGTGTAAGACTGGTGAACTCTCAACAAGGCCCAAAACATGATCAAAAACATGACTAGCACTCTTCAGAAGCACAAATGTTTAAGAGGCAAAGAGAGACAGCCTCAGAGTGAGATGACTCAGGGTTGTTGGTGTCCACTCTAGCTGTCACACTGGTGAAGAGTATTTGGGATTTTATGCCTTTGAACTTCTCTTTTCCATGTTGGCTCTACCCCAGGCTCTTGGGATCATGCCAGAACACATATTACATGCAAGCCCCACTCTGAGCCCTGTAGTCTTTTATCCAGGCAGAGTTGTTTATAAAACTCATTTGTAGAACTTGTTCCATTTTTATTAGAGATAAAGTTCAGAATTTGCATCACAGAATTTTAACATTTCTTATTTCAAAGGTGGGCTCATGATAGGCCACAGAATGTCCTTTCTATACCTGTACATGGTGACAGATCTCAAACACTAAAGGAAAATTGGTCATACACTAACAGAGACTTTCCAGTGTGCTGAGCACATGGCAAGCCTTGGGAACTCAGGACCAAGCCCTGGAAAGTTTCTTAATCAGGGCTTTGTGCTCTCTGGGCAGGGACCTGATGGGGAAGCCCAGCATGTGGATGGAGAGGAGCAGGCCCAGCTGAAGAAATGGTGAGTGCGGAGTCTGGGCTGCAGAAAGACTAAAGTGCAGGCAGGCTAGAAGAACAGGGACATGGTCCCAGGAAAATAGCATCACAGGTAGGGAGCTGAGGCCTGGGACAATGGACTCAGTTTTGAGGCACCAGCACCCTCTGCAGCGCTCCTGACTCAGCCCTTACTGTGCACTTGAGATCTCCCAGGTGTCCCCAGCATTCTCCACAGTGCTCTCCTGAGACACTTGCCTTCCCCACAGGTTTTCTTTCTTCCTCTGCCAGGAGCTCGCTGCCTGTGACATGGACTCTTTCATGAGCTTTGTCAGACACAGCTTGTCCTGAACTGACTGACACACGGACTTGAGACCCTGTGCTGTGCACATGAGCATCATGCTGGAGTGCAGCACTGCTGCTTTCCCAGCTGTTAGTAGAGCAGTGGAACAGATTCTACAGCTAAGGAGAAATTAGCAGTGCACACCAGGATACAAAGGGGCCAGCCCTGGACACTGGGAGGGTGTGCAGACTCAGGCAGGCAGTGACGTGCATCTCTGAAGCCACCGAGATCAGAATGCAATGGTTAGTTGCCTGAAACCTGTGATCCAATGATTATACCTAAAAATCACAAGTGAACTTGCTGATCTGTGAGGGAAGTCAGTGACAGATTGCCTTGTTTGTGGATAAGAGCTCTGAGTCGGAACTTGCATGAAAGTAACAGAAATTCTCACTGTTTCAGAAATGACATTGATAGGGCTGGAAAAATTGCTCAGAGGTTATCGGCACTTGTTGGTGTTGTAGAGGACCCGGGTTCAATCCCAGCACCCACATGGCAGCTCATGACCATCTGTAACTCCAATTTCAGGGCATATGACACCCTCCTCTGGACTCCGGGGTTCAAGAATGTGGTGCACAAAAAGGCCGTCAAAACACACAAGAATGTAAAGTAACGATATATCTAAGAAATGACATTGTCAGTGATGGCGTGACAGCTTTCCCACAGCAGTAACTGCAGGGATACCCAGATGCACAGAGACCCAGAGCATGCTGGGACAGTGTGTTGATGGTCATCCAGGTGAAGTTAAGTGTGAATTGTGAAATTCCTTTCTCCCTACAGCTCCAGATTACAACAGGACAAAGGTTAAGACAGATATTATGGTATTACCAATGCGCAGGAGACAGAGTAAACTGTACTTCAGCCTAGCTTTTAATTTAAGACAATTTGTAAATTTTGTAATTTAGGATTTACTTAACAAGGTGTCTTCCTAAACTTAGTAGTTGAAAATCACATTTTATTATTCTAGCTGAAGCCTTTGTGGGTTGACTCAATGAAGGAATGTCATAGTATATAAGGGTCTCAGGAAGTTTTTCCTTCTTCCTTCCTCCCTACCACTCCACCTTATGTGTATGAGTGTATGAGTGTATATATGTGTGTGTGTGTGAGAGAGAGAGAGAGAGACAGAGACAGAGAGACAGAGAGAGACAGAGATAGAGAGAGAAAGGGAGATATGCTGGGTAGCTTTAGAGTTGTTTGTGTGAGGTGTTGTTTACAGGACTGTAGGAACTACACTGAAGGACTCTAAACTTTCAGGAAGGGATGGTGTCTCATAGGTCCCTCCCCTCTGACTTGTCATGTTTCTAGTCTATCATGATGCTCTGAAATCCTGAACACTGTGGGAGTCTTATGAAGAATGACAAGCCTGTCTACCTTTTCTCAACAGGAGACGTAGTAGCACTAGGAAAAGCACCTCTGGATTTTTACATATGAAATGAGCTAATAGCCTTGGGGAAGAACCTGGCTGCCTGCTTCTTAGCTGACAGCTATAGCTAGTCCATTGGTCAATTCTATCAGAGATCCAAGAAGTTTAAATTATAGCTGAGTGTAGACCAAGCAGCTTCTGAATCTATTAAAAATGACAGAGAGCAGCCCAAACCCAGTGAGCCATACCCAGGTCTCCATAGTGCTGGAGGCAGAAGTATCAGAACAGTACCAGTCTTCACCAGGCCTATAAGCTGAGAGTCTTTTCTGTAAAGGAACATGGGTAAGACCTACCTTATTTGTCTAAGCAAAGGGGGTACGATCAATTCTCCAGTGTCCTTCTGCTTGTCCACAACCAGGGCCAGGTCCTGGTGGCAGTTGTTTCACTGGAGCATCTTGCCCAGTGGTCAGCATTGCCAAATCCAGGTGAAGTAGCCCTGGTGTGGGTAATATTCCTTGGAGACCTTGAGTCACTGAGAGGATCTGGGAGTCTCTGTATGAGATCATAAGCTTTTAAATCAACATTTTAAATGCCATATGTTGTAGATCTCTGATATATTTTTGAGAAATGTCTAGGTATATCTGAATAGACAAACTTTGCTTCTAGTTACTTATTTTAAGCTTAACTTTGAACATATACAGGGGACTGAGTAAGGCTTGGTGTGGGAAATCCTTCTGTGTATGTGTTGCTGTTATTGTTTAATGAATAGAGAAGCTACCTGTCATAGGGCAGGATAGAGCTAGGCAGGGAAAACTAAACTGAATGCTGGGAGCAAGAAGGTGGAGTCCAAGAGAATCTTGGACTTGTAGCTGCCCACAGGAGACAGATGCCTCCAAATTTCATTACAGATGGTTGTGAGCCACCATGTGGTTGCTGGGAAATGAACTTGGGAGCTCTGGTAGAGCAGTCAGTTTTCTTAACCTCTGAGCCATCTCCCCAGCCCTAGAGCCAGATTTTTAATAAGAAACAGCATAAAGTAGGTTTAACGTTATCTACACCAAAAAGCCATCTGGACTCCTGCCAACCCCAGAGATAAATTTTGAGCCCTGACCATAAATGTAGCCACAGCAGGGCTGGGTGGTAACAGGCTGCTGTCGGCAGCAGAAACAGTAAAAAATAGCCTGGCAATTCTTGTTCAGCTCCATGCTTAAAGCAAAACTTGCAAACACACCAAAAACATAGACAAAACTTCCCAACAAAACAAGCATACACACTTTTCAAGAAATAGGCGAAACAAGATCACATATCCTTTATCATTATAGGATCAGGGTTACTTACTCTGCTTATGTCCTCAAAGCAAAAGCCTATGACCAGCTGAGACTGGTTTGGTGCATTGTTCATTGCTGGTCACTGCTGAGTGAGAAATTAGGACATAGAAGCCTACTGGCGTGCGTGCCTTTAATCCCAGCACAGGGGAGGCAAAAGCAGGCAGACTTGTAAGTTTTAGACTAATCTGGTCTGCAAAAAGTATTCCAGGACAGCTATGGTTGTTACACAGAGAAAGCCTGTGTAACTCAGAGAAATTCTCTCAAAAAACCAAGAGAGAGAGAGAGAGAGAGAGAGAGAGAGAGAGAGAGAGAGAGAACCGTCTTTGTTCCCCTTCATCCATGAAGAAGGCATACTGCCCTTCCCTGGTGCTGTATTACTGACGGTATCCCAGAGCACAGTCTCCCAGGGATTGATCTTTTTGTTTTTCCATTCACAGTAAAACCTCAGCTGCAGCCATGGCTGGGAAGCCCATGCTTCACTACTTCAATGGCCGGGGCAGGATGGAGTGCATCAGGTGGCTCCTGGCTGCAGCAGGGGTGGAGGTAGGTTGTGCATTGCTCTTCTGGAATGGAACATAAGATAAGTCTAATACTTCTCTAAGCTGAGAGGCTCCACCCAGGAAAACGGTGCATGGTTTCTTGTTAATAGTGATCTTCATGAAGGAAGAAGATGGACTGATTCGAAGAAATGAAAATTTCATCATGCTCTCTATCAAAGAACACATTCACATTAAAGGATATTTTCAGAAAAAAAATAAAATACTTACTTGATTAGTTAACTATTTGAGTATTAGAATCAAGTTACATAATGAGACATACAAATATACAAACCCAAATATTGATTATTAAATAATTCCAATCATTTATTGCAAATTACGGTATGATATTGTGGCTATAGGTATGACCCTGTTCTTTTAACAAAAGTATTTAAGATTCATAAAATTGTTTGTGATGGGGACATTTGACACCTCAAGTCTGACATTAAGGTCAGAGTCACAGAGAAGGTGGGCAGAGATGAACCCGGTGGACATTAGCTGGGGGTTATTGGAGCTGTGATTGATGGGTGGAGGATCTTTGCATCTTGTGTGTAGTTTTACAGCATAGAAGCAGAAATTTCCATGATAAAAATGGTTTCAAGGGGACAGGAGACTGAAGTAATGGCTCGGTGGTCAAAACCTCATGGTGTTCTTGCAGAGGACACACCCAGGCTGCTCACAACTGCCATTACTCTAGCCTCAGAGGGTTCCAATACCTCTGACTTCCATGAGCACTTTTGCATGAATGTACACACACACACAAACACGCACACACACACACACATACACTCTTTCTGAATATAATATTAAATAAAATTAAAAAGGACAGACTGCACTTTATAGTCAATAAAGTTTAATTTAGAATATACAACATGAATGGCAGGTCTCGCACAGAGGCTTTAGCAAACTGCCTTTCAAAACAGAACAAAGTTCAGTAATCGGTTTGTAGGGACCCTTGAATGCCACACACAGGGCTGGTTGGAAGGGTAAAGCTGGAGAATAACATGGGGTTCCCATCTTCAGGTGGCCCCACATCTGTGAGCTTTCAGGAAAGTGTGAAAAGGGCCCAAGTGAGTGTGGAAGCAACATTCTGAGGTTAAATGTTTTCCAGCTTTAGGACAGAAAATTCTGGTAGACCTTAGTGCTGCCCTCTAGAGGTGTCCCTGGGAAAAACACTTCAAAGCTCACTCCAGGAACTGGTATTTCCTGAGAGGAAGTGCTGGAAGCTGCCTGAGATCTTGTCCTCCTCAGTCAGGAGCAGAATGGGAAGGGTAAAAGATGAAGTGGTGTCCTGTAAAGGCAGCGTTGGCGTCCTCCCTCAGTGTCATGGCAACGTGTTTCCCTCAGCTGTGGAATCCACCTCCATTCCTAAACGAACAGGGCTTCAGCTGATCCTTTCTGAATGAAGGAGTTCGTAAAAACCGAGACTCGCTAGTGCCAGCCCAGGAGGATTGCTTTAAATACATGAATAGTTGGGTGCCAGTGTGTGTACGCCAGCTCTGTGGCTCAGGGGATGTTCTAAGCCACGGGACTGTTGATTCAGTTCAGGAGGAGGGGGTGGGGTGTCTGTACAAGCCTTCCTCTTCCCTGTCCATGGTAACTGAGAAGGCAGTGGGCAGAGGCCGCTAGAGACCCTGGCTCAGACCTTCCAGCTCAAGGTGCCCACAGGATGCCACTGACATCATCCCCCTCATACCCACCAAGCCCATCACAGTTTAGCCTCCCTCTGAACTGTGGTGATGTCACCACTCCCTGCCCCTCTGTGAGTGCTGTGCACATGGTTGACGTCATTTCATTGTCTGTCAGTCCAATCTGTGGGGTTATGGGATCGTCAGCAAACTACTAATCACATTAGAAACCAATTTTCAAACTTTCATGCCTAAAAAGTCCCTTTTAACTATGAAAGGAAAGAAGTCCTTTCCATGGCCCTAGATGGGTAGCAAGGTGGCTCAGGAGATTAAGGTAAAGTGGGAAGCCCTGATTTTGGATTTAGAAACCCATGCAACAACCAAAATTTGTATGTCTTTTCACGTCACAGCTTTCTCCTGGTATGTGCGTGCACACACACACACACAAACACACACACACACACACACACAGGCCTTCACACAGAAACATTTATATACACAAAAATAAAGGAAGTTTAGATGAGGAGCCAGAAATATGGCTCAGCATTTTGAAGTGCTTACTGATTTTGCAGAAGACCCTGGTTTGGTTTTCAGCACCTACATATGGTGACTCAGAACAGACAATAACTCTAGCTGTAGGGGACTTTGCTGCCCCTGTCCTCTGTGGATTCTGTACTAATTTTCACACACACACACACACAGACACACACACACACACACACACACACACACACACACACACACCAGTAATAAAAGATAACAAGAATAATTGGATCTTGCTTGACCAGCAAGCACCCACATCGAAGTTCCTGTGTACCTGGTGTAGGCATGTTCAACCTGTCCCTAAATAAAGCTTTTCAACGCCCAGAACCTGCAGGTCTATTTTGGAGGTGGACATCAGATAGGATGGATTCATCAACTTATTTTAGAATTGGCTGTAGATATTGTTCCCTAAGCTGCAGAAAATGTTTCTGCTTTGTGTATGGGAGGGAAAGGCACCTGATTCACAGCTGGGAAATCTCTCAGCTTTAAAGGATGTTCTTTCATTACATTACTAAGAAATTTATGACTCAGCTCTGAGACTTCTCAGTTCAAAACGGGAAAGGAGTAGCATGTATTTATACAAAAATTTTGAAGATGAAAAATTTCATTATTAGCATGATCGAGAGGGAGTGTTGAGCATGTCAAATCCAAGTGAGGATACGACTGGGTTTTCAGTTCTTGATCATGACAGTTTTAAACTTTCCTTTGGGTGGGAAACATAACATTTGATCAGATAATTAAAGGACCTTGTGAGATGAGGACGGTTGGATATGCAGAGGGGAGGGTGTAAACCTGCCGATGTGTTATTGCAGGATTGGAGAACTGAGAGAGCGGGGGACTGGAAAAGTCCCAAAGATGGTGACAGTCATGTACATACTGATTGAATGTTAAGTTTTTCTTTTATGTATATGTGATTTTGCCTGGACAGATTGTGGTGCACCATTTGTGTGCAGTGCCCAAGGAGGACAGGAGAGGGCATTGGATCTAGAACTGGAGTTGCAGACACTTGCAAGGCGTCAAATGTAGGTGCTGGTATCAAGTCTATGACCTCTGGAAGAACACTCGGTGCTCTTAGCCCCTGAACCATTTTCTTCAGCCCCCAGGTATGAAATTGAAAGATATAGATAAGGAGAGGAGCAATGACCTAAGAGGTTTAGAGCACTAGCTATTCATCCAGAGGATTCAAGTTCTATTCCCAGAACCCACATGGTGGCCCACAACCATCTGTAACTCTAGTCCCAGGGGATCCACTGTCTTCTGGCATCTAGGGCCACCAGGCATGTGTGTGGTGCACAGACATATGTAGGCGCAGATTGCTTGTTCATTTCCCAGCAAACACCCTTGCACACAAAATATGTAATAACTGAAGACTTAAAAGCATTGGATATACATTTTTCAAGTCTCAGAACTGGGAGATGACTATTAAAATAAGCAAGGATTTTCAAGCTATGTTTACACTTCAGGAGCGGTTATTGAGAAAGGCGAAATGCTCAGAGCACAGTCTGTAACCTTAAGCTCAACCTACAAGCACTCAATATTGGTGTGTTTAAAGAGATGTCAAATTGGCAGGGAACAATTGACAGCTGTTTAGAGAATCTTGAAATGGGGCCAATAAATGCAAAAGCACAATATTCAAAGATCAAGGATGGCAAAGATGAAAAGAATATGATTGAATATGGGCTGAATGAGCCATCCAGACAGAACTGCTTTAAGTGAATCCAAAGACAGGGGCACAGACAAATAAAAAAGAAAGTGAATATAAAAATTGTTTTACTAAGGATTTAATTTCCTTAATTAATACTCACCAATTACATAAAGGGCAAAGTAAGAGTTAGTCAGATCCTATCCCTTTTGTGTTTCCATAATGTGTTATAAACTCAATGTTTACAGTTGAGAAGTCCCGAAATAGGCCTCTTCTTAATAAAGTATAATGAATATAATAAATATATCTTGAAAATAAGAAATGTAGATGCCCATGGGCCCATGCCATGTGCCATGACGGAGACACAGAAAGTTCTATTCTGTTCTCAATGAAGTCAAAACACTTTCCTGAGACTCCAAAGCCTCAACAGTAAATTTCCCAGTGACGGCCTGCCAGAGATCACTCCCCTCTTAGGTTCTAGAATGGGGTCAGGGTGGAGAAACACCACAAGATTGTTGTAATAAACACCCTTTTGTTGATGGACCTAATCTAAATTTCCTAGTGGCCAATATCAGACTCTTTTGTATCTACTACAAGATTTAACTTCTGTGAATGTTCTACCAGACACAGACCGTACAATTTAAAAGATCTCCAATGATACAGAATGGGCTAATGAGAATGCCTTTACTTGTTTTTCTGTCTTCAGTTTGAAGAGAAGTTTATAGGATGTCCAGAAGACTTGGAAAAATTAATAAAAGGTAACACTAAGTATGTGTATGTCCTTGGTAAAGTGCCGAGTAGAAGGTTTACCAGAAGGTGATGCTGGTGAGCAGAGGGTGGGGACAGGCAGGAATGGCAGAGTGATGTGATTGAGGTGGTGGGGCTCCTTGGGTGCTCTAAAAATGGAGAGAGTGATAAGGGTGGGAAAGTTGGTATCTCCAAAAGTTTGGCCAGTGGGTTGTTACTGTTTTCTATGATTCCTACTCCAGAGTGAGCAATCTCAGTAAGGATGACTCACTCACTTACACTGACAGGGTTCCACATACACTGCCCTGCAACCACACAGACACATCAGCATCAATTACATCATGGACAGAAAAAAGCAGTGATGATTTTTCAAACTACCTATGAGTTACTATCAACCACTGGTACGGGATAATTGTCTGTATTCTGTCAATCATGTATTTTAATAAAACGCTAATTGGCCAGGCAGGACGTATAGGCGGGTCAACCAGACAGGAAGTAAGGGCGGGGCAATGAGAATAGGAGAAGGCTAAGGAGGAGAAGCTCCCTCCGCCACTCCTGCGCAGACCACCAAAGAGACAGGATGTAACCTGCTCAGCTGAGAAAGGTACTGAGCCCTGTGGCTAACGTAGATAAGGATAATGGGGTAACAAAAGTTGTAAGAGCTAATAAGTAGCCCGACCTAATGGGCCAATCAGCTTTATAACTTATAGAGATCTCTGTGTGGTTGATTTTCTCTGGGACTTGCCGGCTGTGGGATACCGGGTGGGAACAGATACCCCAACAAGACGGCCCTCATGTTAAAAACCACAAAAAAAGGCTGGAGAGCTCATGGTAGCTTCCCTGATGATGAGTTTGTCAAGCATACTTGTTCTGCTTTCATGGTGGCCTCTGTTGTCCCTCCTCCTCTTCCATGTGCATCCAGGGATATGAACTGACATGAAAACATGCACTAGAAATATAATACGTGTCTAGATAGGAAATAAAGATGGATGTGAGAAGCGCAAAAGCCAAAAGAAGATGAGTAAGACAGAGAGGAAACAGACGCTAAAGTAAATGGGGTTCAGCCTGAAAGACTGAGAGTCGATCATTTATCTTCCCTTTGCATGATCAAATACTTTAATGCAATTTTTCTGCTTTTGAGAAGTGAGACTTGGACACCTCAGAGACCTTTCCCTTTCTTCTTTCACAGATGGGAGGTTGATGTTTCAGCAAGTGCCCATGGTGGAGATTGACGGGATGACGCTGGTACAGAGCAGAGCCATTCTCAACTACATCGCCACCAAATACAACCTCTACGGGAATGACGTGAAGGAGAGAGCCCTGTATGGTATATTTCCTGTTATTACTCCAAGGGGAAACAAAGGAAATTTTGGTCCCTCCATGAATGAGCAAGAGCGTGGAAGGTTTTATGTCTAGGAGCAAGCTGGTTATATCACTTAGGTCAAGTATGGAAGAGTCCATGGAGGAGAGGGAAAAGCAAATGGGGTGGATGCAGGTGAGTGTGGCTACAGTCGAGGATAATGTTGTCAGCACAGCACAGGGATAGAATTGCCAAGGGTCTGAGCATGGGGGAGCCATGACTCCAGGTGCCCAAGGCTTCAGTGCTGGACCTCAGCCAACCGTTTAGGGCAAAGGACACTAAAAGTCAAAAGACTTGAGGCTGGAGGAGGAGTCCTAGGGAAGGAAGGGTGAAGGAGCTGCCTCCCACATCCCATGAGTAGCAACAGTGCAGAGCAAGCATCTGAATTGCCAGAGGGTTCTATGAACTGTAACATGAGGGCCGGCTTGTTGGGGTTTCTGTCCCGCCCGGTACCCCACAGCCAGCAACTCCCAAGGAAAATCACACACAGGACTCCATAAGATTATAAACTGATTGACCCATTAGGTCAGGCTACTTATTAGTTCTTATGACTTATCTTAACCCATTATTCTGATCTATTTTAGCCACGTGACTTGGTACCTTTTTCAGCTGTCAGCTCACATGTTGCCTCTTCGATGATCTGGGCAGGAATGGTGGAGGGAGATTCCTCCTCCCTAGCCTTCTCCTATTCTCATTGACCCGCCTTTACTTCCTGTCTGGTTGACCCGCCTATACGTCCTGCCTGGCCAATCAGTGTTTTATTAAAATACAAGATTGACAGAATACAGACAATTCTCCCACACCAACGAACTGCTCAACACAAGGAGGCTTAGAGAGATAGGTTCCCAAGTGCCAAGGTTACCTGGAGCATTTAATTCAGGACTAAAGCAGCCAGGTTACTGTACCACCCATGCTGGAACCCAGAGTTCTCACAAAATCCTTCAGTCATGAACCACTGTGTGAGAATACCACAGCTGCTCAAACAGCTAAATGTGGTGTGGGAAACATATGTCCATGGGAAATGGACCTGACTGTAACAGTGCTTGTATAGAAATACTTCTAGCGGCATTATTATGATTTCCTATGGTGGAATCAGCCGAGATATTCAGTAATAGATGAAAGAGGAGCACAGTGTATGATTTTAGCCATGAACATACATGAGGAAAGCAATACAAAGATACAACATGGACATTACACCGTGTAAAGTAAGCAGACACCAGGGCATATGTTCTATGGCTCATTTCTTTTTTGAGGGGAAGGGGACAGGTGAGACAGGGCTTCTCTGTGTAACAGCTCTGGAAGTCCTGGAACTAGCTCTGTAGACCAGGCTGGCATCGAACTTACAGTACATGGTTCATATCATATGAAATGTTCCCATCCTCACCATGGACAAGAAGGAAATAGATCAGTCCTCCTGCACTAGCTGCCACAGTGCCAGGACTGGGGTGTGGGGGAGACCAAAATCTTCTACAATTGAAAAATGTTGTGTTTTAGGATCCTGCAAAAGTACTTACTAAAACAGGAAAACACATTTTGAGGGTATAATAATGGTGATGTGTGACTGTGTGATGCTGAACCTCTGTCCAAAAAGAATGGTACAAATTACAGTTTGGAACAAGGGAATGCATGTGTCCCATGTGTGCTGTGGTTTACATGAATAAAGAAGCAGGCAAGTCTTGACAAATGTTAGCAAGGCCAGAATCCAGCAGCAGTGTGTTCTGGTTATACAGATATTCTTCCCGAGAAATGAGCGGAGACTTCTACACTGACCAAGAATGACTCTGAGCCACGCAGCAGAATGAGAGAGGTGCACCTGAAGGCTCAGCCAGGGCTTGGTGTTGAGCACATGGGAGGCAATGTTGTGGTGTATATGTAGAAGGAGTAGAATATTTTTTGCTCTTTCTGTTCTTTTGGGGAGAGTCCTCTGCCCAGCTCTCAAAAGAATCACATGGAGGCTTATTCTTAGTTATAAACATCTGACCTTAGCTTGACTTGTTTCTTGCCAGCTTCTCTTAAATTATATTATCCCATCCTCCTTTTGCCTCTGGGTTTTTCTCACTCTCTTACTCTATAAACCTCATTCTTACTCCATGGATGGCTGTGTAGCTGAGTGGCTGGCCCCTCTTGTCCTCCTATTTATGTGGCTACTTTTATGAACCCCTTCTTCCCAGATTTCTCCTACAATATAATTTTTTCTGTCTACCAGTCCCTCCTTTCCTTCCTCCTGCCTCACTATTGCCATTCAGAGCTCTATGAAGCCATCAGGTGTATAGAGAAGTGAAGTATCACAGCTTCACAGAGTTAAACAAATGTCACATAAACAAAAGTAACACACCTTCACATGATATTCCCAATACCACAATTTCATAGCTCTGAGAATTTCAGCATGGCTATAGCGATCAAATCATGTCAGAGAGCATGCAAGTCTGCTGTAGAGTTTGATGGTTATCTTCCTGGATACCACCAAGTATATCATGACTGCATCTCTAAATGGGCAAGTGATGCTCTTTGTGCTTGGGTTGGGGCCATTGTGTATAAAAAAAATTTAAAACTGTATCTGAACAGACAGGATGTCCTAGAAGGGAAGATAGTATATCTGTTAAATATAAAATTTTTATGTTTATACCCACTAGAAGAAGTAACTTTGCAAACACCTTCCAGTGTAAATTTCTTAGGTTTTCAGATTAAAATGTAAAATAGGGAATCTTTGAAAATCCTTAACCATTTGGATAATTTTGTCTTTCAGGATCGACATGTACAGAGAGGGTATTTTTGATCTCACTGAGATGATGCTGCCATTGGTCATATGTCCCCCAGACCAAAGAGAAGCCAAGATCTTGTTGGTAAAAGACAAGATCAAAAACCGATACTTGCCTGCCTATGAAAAAGTAAGTAGGCTGTTTGAAGTCTGGGGACACTGTGTTCCCAGGACAGGAGAAAGGCAGAGGTTGGGAGCGACAGGGTGCTGCCGTACTGACCATCCATGAGCCTCCCTGTGCCACTCCCTGCCCACAGGATGCTGTATAAAAATGGCCTGTGAACGAGGACCACATGGTCATGCCAATCTAGTGTCCACATTCAACAGGGTTCAAGGCCATAACCACACCTGATCTGTGAAAGGCTGAGCCACACCAGAGATGGACCTAGATCCTGCAGACACACTGGCCTTAAATTCCAGGGAAAAGTGCAGAAAAACACAGATGGGAAAATATTCTGTCATATCACACAGGGAGGCTAGAGAGCCACTGGCTGTCAGGAGAATAGGATCGAGCTTCAAAGACAGAGGAGAATCTGACCTAGGCAGTGATGCAGGGGAGAGGAGGAGGCTGATGAAGAGATGTAAAGGAACACTGGCCTGTAGGAGTTAGGGTCACAGATGGCAGGCTTGGGAAGAGAGCCATGCACACTCCACACATGAAGAATGTCCGTGTACATGTGGTGCCTCTCTTAGTCGGGGATTCTCTTTGGAGGAAGATCACGAACACGTCAGACTGACTTGATCTTCTGTCAAGCAAAAGCTAAGAACAAAGCTCTGATCCTAGTGGATAAGGAAACCTACACATTCTTCAGAGACCGTGGTTACTGTTTAGAGGCTGTGGGACCTGGGAGACTGAAGGCAAACTGAAGTCTCATGCAACAGACAGCTCAATCCAGAGCAACAGACTGTTTTCACTCAAAGGGCTAAAAGAAGTCACATGGGTAAAGCATGCAGTCACAAGAGAAAACCACACGTGACGATCAAGTTGAAAGTGCCCAAAACATGTTTTCCACTGTGGCATATAAAGAAACAACACTAGCTGGTCGTAAAGACTAAGCTGAGGTGAACTCACTCCTCTCCACTATACTTGGAAGAGTATGAAAGCTTAATCCAAGAACAAGTCTGCAGTGTTTGAAGAAGCTGAAGTCAGAGGAATTTTTCCTTGGGGTCTTGGAGTTTTCTCACAAGCACTCAGAAATCTTCTCATGACTCCATTCTCTGTGGCAGACACCTTGACCAGCAAGGAAGAACGACCACGAGTCAAGGATTTTTTCAAATCACACTTTATTGGAGCCTCTTGGTTGAAGGGAGAGTGGGAAGCGAGAGAGCGAAAGCCAAGCGGCATCTGCTTATATAGGGTGAAGGGACTCGGGTACTGTCCTGATTGGTGAATACCAGTCTGCTGATGCCCGGAGCCTCAGAATTGGCCAGGGACAAGGCTCAATTGCGCATGTGGAGGCAAAGGGCGCTCAGCCCCACGCGGCAGTACCAAATAAGGACTTGCTTACCTCCAAGCTGCAGGACCTCTGGCGTCATCTTGTAATGGCGATTTTCCCGGGTGGCTCCCTACAGTTCCCCCGTTTTGTTTTTAAGAGCAATAAGGCAAAGAACTATTTCCCAATCAGGTCCCTACCTCATGATGTGTGGACCGATCGAGGGAAAGGAATAAGCAAGATACACCCTTCCCATGTAATGGGACAAATACTTCCCTGGGAGTGTAAGGGTTGTATCTACACACTTTTTTTTATGTATACCTTTCTCTGTGCAATGGGACTATTTGGTTCCTAGAGGGTGCAAAGCTATGTATAGCATATTGCCTACGAGCTCTTTAAGGCTGAAAGCCAAATATGGGGTGAGGAACCACATTCCAAGGCAGCCAAGGCTTGTGTCACAATGACCTTGTCCCTCCTCGTTTGGGCTCGCAGACGGCACACCAATCACAGACATACCGCACATCCACCCAGGCAGCATGCCAAAAATATCCCTACCCCTACCCATTCCTTAAAAAAGGAAAAGGCAGAATAAAGTCAGTCGGAAAATTGCTCAAAGGTGAGAGGCTGCACACAGGTGCTGTTCAAGGTGATAATGTGAAACAATTGCTCTTGGAGTAACGTCTCCATCTCCATCGACCAATTTTCCGCCAAGTATTGTCCAATTTTCTGGGATACATTCCTGGAGTTATTAAAAACAACAGGGGTAATGTAAAGATGTTTTTGATATGACACGCAACCAACTTGAATTAAGCTGGCCAATTCATCTATTTGGGTTTGTAAAAAATCAATCCTCTGATTGGCGGCCACTATGTCTGACAGCATATGTTTGTTAATCTGTGTCTGCATATCCAGGACATCTGCAGTCTTAGCAACTACTTTATTAAGGACATCAGCCGTTTGTATCTGCTGAGCCATTGCTACTCCTGCTGCAATGGTGGCTGCCGTTGATGTCACAATGGCAGTGAGTATGGCAGCAGTGATCCCAAAATTACGCCGCCTGCGTAGGAGTGCAATAATGGGGAACTGTTCAGGGTCAGCCTCTGTAGGAAGGGGTACAAACGTAGGAACCTTCAGCACCACAGCTAGATTCCATGTCCCATTTTAACATTTAGACCAAAAGCACTCCACTGAGGCGTTTTTACAATCAAGCTTTTTCTCTTTACCGGTAGCATTGGTAAATAAAAAAATGAATGGAGAGGGTAGGCAGACTGCTGTTCTCGGAAGAGTATGATTATGCAACCTTCTTCTTGACTAATTCGAAGACGCCTTTTTCGCCCATGCTGCTCAATAACAACACCTGAGACCTTGAGCAACTGTGTTGTAATTGGCAGGGGTTGCGCCAAGGCAGAAACATCTGCCACAGCTCCCACCTCATTGGAAAGCAACCATTGGTACCAGGACCACCCTGTCCCTGTTGTAGAATTTTCATTGGTATGATTATAGATATACCTTTCCATGGAAGGGGATAAAGAAAACACCAATGCAGTTTGTCTCTCCTCCCAGGTTTTTGCTTGGCAGGCATTAAAGGTGGGTGGGAATGAAAAATCTGGAATGCAATGTGGTGATGTTTTAAAGTGAGTTGCATTTCTAGCGTCTGTACTCACTCCAACAGGCACCACGGGATCAGCCCGCATGGCCAGGGTGGTAACATTTATGGCCAATGTAATGTCGCTGTATCAGATCCTTTTGTTGGTTCCTTGGCTATGCTGCTTAATGCACTATATAGTATGTCTATCTCCACCTTACTATGCTCCAAAGGATCCATCCAGTTGGTGAGACTCTTGCATAGGAGCTTAATGTAAGGATGAGGGCTTTTCTCACCCCTAACTAGGAAAAAGTACATGGTCCCATTTAAATCAACACTGGTTGTATTAAATCTCTCTAACTTTGGTTTTGAGTTAGGCATACAGGGCGCACCCATTTCACAGGAAGTGGAAAATAATGTGGGAAAATGGGATGAATTAACATGAACTGTATCGGTATGGGCCATGCCCTTGTCACCGCCCAGAGGGTCATCCTTGCTGCTTTCGTATGAATCATCCACAGTAGGGCATTCAGCATCCACTGGATCATCTTTATCCTTTGTAGCATCCTTCACTTCTCTGGTCAGTCTTGTTGGCACCCAGATTGGATCCTCTCGATTCTGGGGGAAAACACAAACAGCTCCCCTGGATCTGGTAACCACCGGATCCGGTCCGTACCATTTGTTATCCAGTACATCTTTTTACATGACCAAATCTTGCTCTGAAGAGCTTTCATGTAGGGTATGCCTGTCTGCTGCTGTTTTTCCAGCATTGTTTTGAATTAAAAAATTAAGTGTAAAGAGTGTAAGGGAGATCCTTTCCCTGGGGGACGCTGCGTTAGCTATTTCCCCTTTTTGTTTTTGGAGAATCTTTTTTAGGTTTCTATTTGTTCTTTTTACAATCCCTTGACTTTTTGGATTGTATGGTAGGCCCGTGGTGTGTTTGACTTGTAATTGCTTACAAAAGGATTTAAAGCCCTGTGAGGCATATGCTGGGCCATTGTCAGTCTTAAGACGGGTGGGCTTCCCCCAGGCCACCCAGACTTCTAAGCAATGCACTTTTACATGAATTACTTTCTCCCCTGTTAGGGGGGTGGCATGAATTATCCCAGAGCATGTGTCCACTGACACATGAACATATTTTTGCCTACTAAATTCTGAGATATGAGTCACGTCCATTTGACAGAGTGAGTTTGGCTTCAACCCCCTGGATTTACCCCAACATGTGGAGGATGTAGCATGGTTACACAGGAGGGACAGGCTTTTACTATTCCTCTGGCATTGTCCCGAGAGATCTTAAACCTTAGGCGAAGTGTATTCGCTGGGACATGATAGAGCTGATGGAAATCTCTAGCTAGCTGGAGTGAATCTGAGGCCACAAGGGCGAGTGCTTGAGTAGCACCATCAGCTTGGACATTGGCCTCCGCCATAGGTCCTGGCAAAAGGGAATGGGCTCGAATATGAGCAACATAAAAGGGAGTCTCTCTTTTTAAAATATATTTTTGTATTTGTAAAAGAATATTGGACACTGTACTTGAGCAGCAAATTGAGGCTGCCACCTTAAGACAGGCTACAGCATTCAATAAGGAAACAAGATTTACCTCTCTTTAGCTTTGAAGAATCACCTCATAATCAATTATACACGATACCTTAAGGTGAAAAAATGGAAAAAGATACTCTAAAATGGAACATGGAAATGAAATGGAGTGATTATTCTACTGTTTATGGAAATAGACTTCAATTCTAAACCAGTGTGAAAGAATATGGAGGGGAAATTCATGTTCATTGAAAAAAATACTTTAAAATAATATTTAAACTCTAAACATATACTATCAAATATGGACACAATCAATTTAACATAAAAATATTACTATATCTAAAACCACAGAATAACCACAATACAGTGGATTTAGTTGGGGGGGGGGTCTTTAACACACTGTGATAACCCATAGTAGGTCATTCAGATAAAAATTAACAAACACTGTACACTGTAGTTTAATAATACTCTATTTCAAATTGAACTTACAGATTTCTAGAACATTCCACAAGAACAATAAAGAGTACAACAGTTATTGGAACAATGTTGAAAAACCCTTAGCCTTATTCATCAAAGTCCATTGGGTGACATGATTCCTCATCATCTCCCCCTTTTGTCTTATTAAAAGAGTTTCAAACCTAATACAAAACCATATACAGTAAGAACAGATATCATCT